TGTCTTTCAGGGGTCCGTACTGGAATCAGTACTGTTCGATGTCTCTACTAATGACATAGGTAGTGGGACTAAGTGCACCCTCAGCAAGTTTGCGGACGATACCAAGCTGAGTGGTGTAGTTGAGATCCTTGAGGGAGGGGATGCCATCCAAAGAGACCTTGACAGCCTGGAGAAGTGGGCCGATGTCAACCTCATGAAGTTCAACAAGGCCAAGTGCAAGGTCTGCACCCAGGATAGGGCAATCACCAGTATCAGTACAGACTGGGGAGGTGAAGAATTGCGAGCAGCCCTGCAGAGAAGGACTTGAGGATATGGGCAGATGAAAAACTGGACGTAGAAGACTAATCTGGTGGGCCTCTATGATGGAGTGACTGTGTTGGTAGATAAGGGAAGAGCAACTGATGTTGTCTATCTTGACTTCTCTACGGCCTTTGACATGGTCCCACACAGCATCCTTGTCTCTAAATTGGAGAGATACAGTTTGATGGATGGACTGCTTGATGGATAAGGAATTGGTTGGATTGCCACTTCCAAAGAATTACAGTCAATGGCTCAATGTCCAAATGCAGATCAGCGACAAGTGGTGTCTTTCAGGGGTCCGTACTGGAATCAGTACTGTTCGATGTCTCTACTAATGACATAGGTAGTGGGACTAAGTGCACCCTCAGCAAGTTTGCGGACGATACCAAGCTGAGTGGTGTAGTTGAGATCCTTGAGGGAGGGGATGCCATCCAAAGAGACCTTGACAGCCTGGAGAAGTGGGCTGATGTCAACCTCATGAAGTTCAACAAGGCCAAGTGCAAGGTCTGCACCCAGGATAGGGCAATCACCAGTATCAGTACAGACTGGGGAGGTGAAGAATTGCGAGCAGCCCTGCAGAGAAGGACTTGAGGATATGGGCAGATGAAAAACTGCACTTGCAGCCCAGAAAGCCAATCATTTCTTGGGCTGCATGACAAGAAGTGTAGCCAGCAGGTCAAGGGAGGCGATTATAGCCCTCTACTCTGTTCTCGTGAGACCCCACCTGGAGTACTGCTTCCAGTTCTGGGGTCCCAAGCACAAGAAAGACATGGGCCTGTTAGACTAGGACCAGAGGAGAGCCACAAAAATGATCACAGGGCTGGAATACCTCTCCTGTGAGGAAAGGGTTGTTCACCCTGGAGAAGAGAAGGGAGAAGAGAAGGCTCTGGAGACACCTTAGTGCGGCCTTTCAATTTTTAAAGAGGGCTTGTAAGAAAGATGGAGAAAAAGTTTTTACCAGCGCCCGTAGTGACAGGACAAGGGCCAATAGTTTTAAGCTGAAAAAGGGTAGGTTTAGAATGGATGTAAAGAAGACATTTTTTACAATGAGTGTGATGAGACACTGGAACAGGTTGCCCGGAGAAGTTGTGAATGTCCCGTCTTTGGAAGCGTTCAAGGTCAGGTTGGATGGAGCTTTAAGCAACCTGATTTAGTGGAAGTAGGTTCTTCCTATATTCTCCAACTCCCTCACCATGGCAGGGGGGTTGGACAAGATGATCTTTTAACGTCCTTTCCAACCCAAACCATTCTATGATTCTGTGATTCTGGATAGTTCAAGACGAACCTTCTTTGCAAGGTAAGCTTCAGAGTATTCCAACAATAGGTGAAAAAAGAATTTTGACTCAATTTTTAGCTTAGCCACTTGCATATTCAATTTATTTGAAAAAAAAAACCAGTATACACTACAAATGAGGATACACTTTACTGTTTCTATTCCTATTAAATTTCTTTTAAAGTTAGTAATAGCCTTCCTCAAGCAGAGATCACAAATATGGAATTTCAGAATTACCAGCTGTAATTTAAGGGGCTTTTCCTACAATCTATCAAATGATCTAAAGAATGTACACTTAGAAGCCAGGTAATTTTTTTTTTTCTTTCAAATCTGCATATTGAACCCCTGTTTTATGGTAATATGCAAGCCAGTGACCTTGCTATTTTATTTTTATTGACAACATTCAGTAGTGTTTTGCATGAATTGTTGCAGAATCCACACTGGGTCATCTGTATCACACTGCAATCTTAACTATCTTCTAACGGAATGACTCCCAGAAGAGGAATAAACACTAGTTCAAATATTCACATGCAAATAGGTGTTTGTATTAATATCTATGTATAAATGATAATTACGTGTCTATATATGCCACTTTTTCTTTTCTGCAATACTCTTTGCTCTCTGGAATTTAAATGAACAGGTGTCCACAATTACTAGTAAAAGTAAAAGCGCATTTAAAAATATTTTTGTCTATGTTTACAGCTGTCTACACTTGATATGTGAGAAATGTTTACAGCGTCACTCACCCGGAAATTTATTCGCTTTCTAGAGAAGGTAACTAATGGAGAGCAGGCAGTTTTCCAAAGCAGTGAATTTTTTTTTTCTTTTTCTTTTTTCCCATTACTTATTGCACTGTTCGAAGTGGGGAAGTTTGGGTACCGAACCTCAGGCTGGAGGCTGGGAAAGGTTTTTTTGCTGTAGGAATTCATGGTTGTGGGTGACCGAATAGGGATGAAATCAGTATGGGGATGAGAGCTGGAGACAAGCCAGAATAAGACACTACACATAGACAACTGTTGCTTGGTACCTCCGCCTTTCCTCTGGTTTTGGATGAAACAGAGAGAAACCTTGGCATATTTAGTGCAAAATAATGGGTGCTTGTGCAACTTAAGGAGGCAACTTTGCTAAAAGACCTCGCCACCCCATAGGGTCTTGTAAGTTGCACTGAGCCACAACGTGGTGCAGGTGTGATCCAGGACCCCCTCTTTGTTGCAGAAGCAAGATATCATCATGCAGGTGATTGCAGGCAACTTTGCCATTATGAAACATGGTGTTTCCCACAGCATCCTCTGTGGTGGTTCCAGTAACAGCACTGAAACAGGAGCAGGTCCCACCGGCTTCGTAAGACCATGGAGTCAGCGGAATGATCTTCTCCAAAGAGTGGGTCATATGGTAAGATTCAAAATTTAGAAGTGGTAATAGGTCTTACCACTGCAAACTGCCTTTGAATATGTCTTTAAAAGCACAATATACTCATAAAATATTAAAAATAATGTAAATATACTACTGTTATCTCACATTTCAGGAGCGAAATATTCAGGCAGACAGTCAGAGGCCTTTTTTTACCAGTAAATACCACGTTATGTAGTTATAGGCAACGTTACAAACTAGAGAAATCACCGGCCTTTCTTTCTGGAAGCTTACACTATAAACAGCTACACAGAGAACCCTTGCACAACCACAGGCACCATAAACCTCACCAGGCAGCTCTCTTTCTTCTCTAAAACAGCCTCTCTCCAACTTGCTCTCACCCACACCGCACGAGGTACCTTCATTTGTGCTCGCAAAAGCCCTATGGTAGCAAAACATCAGTTTGCAAGTAGTAAAAGTTACAACCTGCTGTAAAAAAACCCACATTATTATTGACATGTTATTGAACACCTCTCTTCCTGATTCTTTTCTTCTGAGATCTCAGCATTCTCTGTACCATTTTCTGGACTCTATTGGAGAAAAAAACCACCCTGAATCCCATGTTAAAATTTTGTTTCATCCCTATTATTATAACTCCTATTAGTACTTTCTGCCATTTTGCATGCAGACTTTATTTATGGTATTGTTTCAGTATTCAGGTTTTCTTTTCCTTTGGTTTAACTGCTCTGAGACAAGCCTTAGCCTTCAACATATGAATATGGAATCTCCACCCTTAGAGATAATAAAAAAGTTATTTATAAATAAATAAACTATATTATTCAAGACTGAAGAAGGAGCCACCTTTGTGACTGCTCCAGGCAGTCCCTTTTATATCAGAAAGAGATGAAAGAGTAAAGTGCAAGTAAGGTCTTGAGTATCATACTTATAAGCTCTGTTTATCAGACCTTATCCAAATTCATATAGTTCTTAGTCAAGCTGACATTTTGTCACTAAGAAAGAGATTAATATTTGAAGAAATGTCCAGATAATAATATTTAATAATTATTTTCATTTTCTCATAAAAGGAATATATTTCTATAACCCAAATGCTCAAAAATCCCCGCAACTCCTCATTTCATAATACAATTATGACTGGAAATTGGAGCATTTGAACAAGACAGCTACTCTTTATAAATCTGAACAGTTACAAGCACTGGACTACGCAATGGAATTTCTTAATAATCCACTGTCCCTTTTAAGTTCAGATGCTATTTTTCTAATGAACTGGGAAAAATGATTCAAGAATCTTTTGCAAGTTTATAAAATCTAACTGGCTTCATGCAGTCAGGGAGAAAATAGATACACTTCTATCAACAATCTGTATATTTGCACTTGTTTATAAAACCCAGATTTTTTTCCAAAAACACCATGAAAACAAAAGAATAATTCTAAGCTTCCCACGGAGTGTCCTATTATTATGGTATTGGTCTAAACTGCTGCAACTTTATTTTGGGAACATATTATTGTATTTGAATTGTTCTGACAGAGGAGACCGACTGATACTTCCTGTTTTGCATGAGACGGATCTTTTCTTTCAAGCGCGTTTCAGTTGCAAGTAGCGCTAGGAAATTTCAAAACAGAGGCATTAACTCCAAATACTCCAACACGCAGCCGGCACATGACGGGGCAGCCACCGAATATACAGCAAAACACAAGGGCTAGGACCTGTGCCCATCACCTGGGGCAGGGCAGTGCTGTGTTTTATCGCTATTCTCTTCACTAGACTAGACATAATTCGTATCTTCTTGTTCACTAGACTAGACATAATCAGCGACACTAATTTCTTGTTTTAGGTTTAACACATTTTATCCTCCTAAGACAGTTAAGCATCTGCATAACTCGGGCATTAAAGTACTTTCACAGACTTCAAAGGGACCACCAGCATGCTTAATCTTAAACAAGTGCGTAGTTATCTATTGAACTGTGGTTTCTAGTGAGGTTTTCTGAACTGGAGAGAACAGTCAGTACTGTTCTGAAAGTCCAACTTGTTTGCATAGGGGTAGCCAACGAATCATACCTGCAGCATTTGTTCTTCCTCTGAAAATATCATCGTATGCTTTCCATTGTGGGGTCACCTGGTAGGCGTGGATGAACACCACAAAAACCACTACCAAGCACATTAATGGCACCAGAGCAGCGGTGAAGAGAGCAGCGTAGGCATTTGGAATGAAGCACCTGATGATAAAAATGGAAAAAAATGCTGTTTATAAACATAACAGACACCTTGAACAGTCATAAGTGAAATTTCAAAACCAAATGTTTTTGAAGAAGGATATGCTTTACAAACCACAAATTCTTTAACTCTATTCCCAAGTAACATTTTTAGAATGCATAGGGTTCTGTTGGTTCTTATCTCCTTGTCATATCTTAAGGAATATAATATTTGCACCTTAAAAGTATGCATGTTATATTTTAGCCTAACCAATGTTGCAGAGATTTAAACAGTTGCAATGGAACAAATTATATTTTAACAAACTCCATGCATGCTATATTCATTTAATGTGATCACTCTTAGTCACCAAAATGTAAAAGGGCATTATGCAATTTTCTATAGTTAGCTCCTGAAACCACAAATTAAATTTTGAGAAATATATTTTTAAAATAAATGAACAAGTCTTAAAGGCAAGATAACTATTCCTCCTCAAGTTGTTGGAAATTATATGTCATTTGCACACTGAAGCCAAATGCTCACTCCCTCCCATTTTTTTTTAAATTGTCCTGTCTCTCCTTACCCTTTCCATTTATTAAAGTTATAATTATTTATAAAGATGTGACAGGAAGAGGAGTTGTTCCTGAAAGAGAGTCAAATTATGCATATAAGGATGACTTGAAGGATATGGAGATGATAGTTAAAGAGAGCTCTCAAGGGTATGAGAGACCAGCGTTTTCTGTGAACTCCCTGGAGATCAGTATGTGCTGTACAGCCACTGACCTACTCTAGAGATGACGCACAACGGAGCAGCCCAAGGGACAGCTCGGGAGTCAGTATGTCTAGAAAGTATGTGGTCACTGCTATCCCTATTAAGAGGGTGTAACCTACCCAGCCCTTCTGTTTGTCAGGTCAGCTCTGCTAAATAAGCTTAGAGTCAACGCTGGTACAATATACATCTGAGAAGAGCCTGGGTACACGTTTCACTGATAAACCTGGTATACCTCCTGAGTTTGCTTAGGTGAACATGGGTACTCTGTCCAGCAAGTCAAGATTGCATTCTATGTCAGCTCTTCCAGAGCATCAGTCGGGCACACTCAGTGAATCCCAGAGTAATTTCCAGCAGAATCTAGATACGGTCTACAACTCTCTTCAGAAGGTACAGGCTCAGTCAGACACCAAGCTGAGATACTACCTGATAACATCACTAAGCAAGTAAGCAAGCAACAGGTAGGAACTCTCTGTTGCAATTAAAGATGTTTGTTTCAGAATCACAGAATGGTTGAGGTAGGAAGGGACTGCTGGAGATCATCTTGTCTGACCATGCTCAAGCATGGATACATAAACCTGGTTGCTCAGGGCTGTGTCTAGATGGTTTTTTAATATCTCCAAGAATGGATACTCCATGACCTCTCTGGGCAACCTGTGCCAGTGCTCAGTCACTCTCACAGTGAAAAAGTGCTTCCTGATGCACAGTTGGAGCCTCCTGTGTTTCACTTTGTGCCCATTGCCTCTGGTCCTGTCACTGGATACCACTGAAGAGAGCCTGGCTCTGTCCTCTTTGCACCCTCCCTACAGGTATTTATATACATTAGAAAGATCTCCTAGAGCCTTCTCTTCTCCAGGGTGAACACCCCCAACTCTCTCAGCCTTTCCTCATAGGAGAGACGCTCCAGACCCTTACTCATCTTGGTGGCCCTTCATTGGACTTTGTATAGTCTGTCCATGTCTCTTTGGTACTGAGAAGACCAGAACTGGACCCAGTGCTCCAGGCGTGACCTCACGAGTGCTGAGCAGAGGGGAGGGATCACCTCCCTCGACCTGCTCTCAACACGGCTGTTTCCTGGACACAACATCTGATCCACTTCATCCTTCTAATTTTTAATATTTCTTAGGTATGAAACTTATTTTTGTTGCTCAAATGTATTCTTGAGTGGGCCCAATTAGTGTTAAGACATGGAGGTACATTATCATAACCTATGCTACTTTTAATGATTATACTGAAGCCAAGAATCTCAGCACAAGTATAGTCTTCTATAAAATAATATTTATGTTCTAAAACCTGTGATTTTTTTTCAATTGGATACATTTTTTGTATTTCAGAGATCACGCATACTCTTAAAAAACTATCTGAATGTCTTGAAAGCTTTCTGTGAACACTCCTTTATATTCAGTTATTGAAAGCTGCATAAAAATGAAAATGCACAGAGATAAATCACTTTTACTAATACTCCTAGGTACTTGCTCTAAAAAAGACACTGAAAAGTTATGTAGACAAGAAATACACAACGCCGTACTAACCTACAAACCTTACTTTGGATTTTTTTCTTGAAAGCAATGGTGAGCAATTCAACGATGACCACTACTTCCTGTAAGTTTTATTCACGTATAGCAGTGTGATGACATATGTTGAAAGGTATCTTTTATGCTGGAAATCATATGGGATATCATTATAAGGAGCAACTGAAAATATTTATTATACTTGACACTAGGGGCACACATTTATTACTCCATTACCATGACACTTTTGTCACATGGAACTACTGTGTGTCTTGTATTCCTAGCATTGGATGGGAATAGAAGAAAAATGTCCCAAAACATCAACTAAGGTGGTGTTCCAGAACACAACTACAAAAAAAGGCCTAGAAAGACTGACGTGGAAACTGGAATGAACTACATAATCAAAAACCTTACTTACTTAAAGAAGAGCATTATTTCCTGCAGTACAGCCTTCAAGCAAGTTTGTTTTTCTTTTTTTAAACAGGCACTAGACTTTGTTAAGTAAGTCTTTAATCCATGAAAGACAGTGCCATTGTGCATAATGAAGTTATTTTTGTATTTCTTTCTTGGGTGAGTAACTATAAGGTTTTTGTTTTGTTTGTTTTCAACCTGAGTAATAGCGGGGAAAAAAAAAAAAACCAACTACCAGTTGAAATACATGCCTTGTGCAATGGGGACAAGAAAAGTCAAACACTGTTCGCTTCTTCAGAGACTTCATTTTATTACAAAGTTTCTGTGACTTCCTATTAACACTTTCTATTACCAAATTGTACTTTTTTTTTTCCCTGACTGTTTTAAGAAGTTTTGCTACCAGCTTACATCTCTTCTAGCATCGAAAAGACAAATGTTTAGCTTTCGTCCCAAGCTGCCTCCACTCTTGTCCTTCTTGACTATTGTTATCTGACTGGAGGGTGCATCTTCGGTTCTGTTTTGACCACTTTGTTCTCACCACAGACTTTGTTTTGATCCCTGATTTTGTTTTGATTACTATAAATTTCTCTCGTAACCTTGCCAGTAACATATTCCCATTGGTTGATTCTCTCCCACTACTCCCAGCTAAACTAATTTCTTTTCATTATCTTCAAAACTCTCTCTGGTAGCCTCCCAATCTCCTACTCCACTCATGGCATCACTTTTCCCATAAACAGCACTCTACTTCCACTTCAAATGTTTCTAACTCACAAAATGTTTGGGGATTTTTCCAACTTATGAGAACATTAAACACATTATCCAAAGCCCTGAATAGGTCTGTATCCGTTTTAATTCTACAAAAGAGGCTAGAAATTATTTTAAAAATAATTGTCTTTAGTATGTGTCTTCTCCAAGGTATAATTCCATACTAGTATGTAATGATTTGTTTATCATTTTAGAACTGAAGGAAAAAATACAGAAACTATATTAGTTTTTTCTTTCAATACCAAGCAATAAGACGCTTTACACATTTTTTACCAGAACTAGACAAGAAACAGCTTTAATATATAAGAATTTTTTTCCCTCTTGAGATCTACTGCAGATGTTCATTTGATCTAAATTGATACTTTGAAATACAACAAACACGGAGAGATTAGGACATACAAATTAATATCCTCTTTCCTTTGGAAAAGACATAATCTCACAAAATCATATATATTTAAATTAATTCATTCATTAAAATTGCCTTATTTATTATCCGGCCACAATCAAGGCTTCACCTTGGTTGTACTTTTTCCCCCTTCTAATCTATAAAAGGGATTGCTAGGCTTGCTTTCTTCTCAAGGGGGTGAAGCATGTTTATCTGACCCTGTAAGTCTCTTTGTGAAGTCTTCTGTGATCTCTTAAACTGTAACATTTCCTAAAATCTGGAAAGGGATTCCAGCTACATATGATGCAGAAGGCCCTCATTTATTTTTCCTAATATATTTAAAGGAAAAAGAGAAAACAACTGACTTGCTGTATACTGGAACTATTTGTTAGCACAATTACATAATTAATATTAAAAAAGGAAAATTAAAAAAAAAACTTTCAAGCAACATCGCTAAGAAAATCAGGACTATTTAAAAAATTGAGGAAGGTATTCAATAAAAATACTGACATATTTTGTTCCCTTCTAAGCAAGATTTAAAATAGCTCAATGCGTTATAGACAGTTTCGTTCCTTTATTGCCATGTCTTGAATTCTAAGGACAATCTCCTACAAATGCATCCTGAAACTATGGAAAGTTAAGTTTGACAAAAAATCAGAAGTGTTCTTGTCTATCAAATACCTGGTGTTCTCATTTAGTTTTGTCAGCAGGCAGCTAAGCTTTTAACTTTTACTTGTCATGTGAGTTTCTCTGCAGAGTTAGACCTAGATTATTATTATTACTGTTGTTGCTCCCTAATTAATTAATTAATTTGTTATTTATTCATTATTTAATCCTGGGCACAAAGCTTGACAACTCTTGAGCTTCTCCCTTACTTTTGGCATAGCTGGTTGGCGGGCAGCCTGGCACAGAGAACAGAGAATTGTGGCACCACGTGAGTTTGCTCATGTTGCACATGTTACATCAGGAAAGTAAAAGACAAAGGTCAGACACATGAATTTGCACTTATTTTGCACTTGTATTTCATCACATCCATTTAGAGAACGAAATCTGTGTACCTAAAAAAAACACTAACAAAAGCCAAAGCTTGAATCATTTATTCATGCTTACTCAGCAAATTCTTCACAAAGTAGATGAGACAATGCTAAAAAATGAAAATATGCAAGTTAGGTAATGATCTAGATA